GGCTAACAACCAGCATCAGTTACTGGCCATCGCTAACAACCAGCATCAGGAACTGGTCATTCCTAACAACCAGCATCAGTTACTGGTCATGGCTAACAGCCAGCATCAGTTACTGGTCATGGCTAACAACCAGCATCAGGAACTGATCATCGCTAACAACCAGCATCAGGAACTGATCAATGCCTACAGTTAGCACTAGTCACTGGGAACCTGAAATCTGCCCAGTTTACAGCATTCACACCCCTACAAGAAGGCAGCAAGTTATTGATCCAGTAAATATAGAGTATAAAATAACAATAAAAATCAAATTAAATCTGAGTATTCATCTTTAATGGATCAGAAATTAAACAAAAACAATAAACAAGAAAATATCAGTTACCCTTCAAAATGATAATTATGTTTTTAATTGTTCATAGTCTCTGGCCACTGTCTTCTTAAAATCATATTTGAATACTGATATCAGCTTCATGAAGACGCAGGTTCAGTTTTCATTACATGATTTTAAAAATCTGCAAAACCGAAAAGTTAATAATGCTGAAAAAAGCATTCTTGCTTTTTCATGATTCTATTTAAAACCAAATATGAACCCAGTTCTATTGCCAGGTGATATATCCCCTCAGTGTGGTGCACTTCAGAAGTACAGGGATACTTACACAACACTTTCGGTTCATTGAAATGTGACACCTTCAGGTAAGTTTCTCCAACTTTTGTCACGGAAATAAAATTTCGTTCATAAAAATGTAAATACAAAATCATCAAGTTCATCACTTGACACATCTATTTAGCAAGTTTCATCCAGGAATATTCAATGGTGTTGGAGTTATAATCCAGAAATGAGCACTACTCTCATTTTCAGTAAAAGTCCCACTTGTCATATAAACATAAACATCCAATATTGTCAAAAGGCACCAGTTCATGATCACCTCTTGACTGATCTGTAAAGTCTGATGGAATTCAGCTCCATCAATGGAAAGACAGCAGACGGACATGCTGATCGCCATTTCCCCCAACAGAAAGGCCCAAAAAAGATGTCTTCTCCACCTATGCTGGTTTTTTAACTGATTGCTACCAGTACATTAGCAAGCACACAACATACAGAAACACACCTTGATCCCAAACCAGTCCAACATAGGAAAACATCATTAAGAGGCGGCAGACAAACATGTCATAAAACTGTCAGAGTTGATTCCAGATCATTTATTAGAAAGACTTTATAATAAAACAGATGTAAAAACACACATTCAAACAAATTCATGCCAAAAAAATACATCCTTTTGTAAAAAATCTCACCAGACAAGAAGAGATAACATATATCACAAACACTGTTTTGATTATCAAACAAACTATTAACATATTTTTGTAAATTGAAAACAACTTCATCAATAGTTTTCCGTGATATAAATGATAATCATAAATTTGATCAAGTTCAACTTTATATGCAAATGGTTCTGTAACAGTGTTATAGTATGTAACAGGAACTCTTCAGGTCAAAACACAGGTCGGTTGTAGTGACATGGCTGCCGTGTATATGACGTCATTTAACAAAGCACCAGCTGGACCTGTGTTGACAGTACCTCGGATGTTGCCTCTGTCTCTACCATTACAACATGTATTATATAAAAAATATTATAAAAAATGAACATTATGAATTGAGTAGTTTTTGAATCTCAGATTGGTAATATTCACGTCATTTAATGTAGTCTGCGGAACAATCATCCGCCTCTCAGCAGGTATACACAAGTCTTCATCCAATCAGTACTTGTCCAGATCATGGGGCTGCTGATTAACGGGAAGTGGAAGATCCAGGTGATCTGAATATGTAATGTCCTGATGACCATGGTAAACATGGTATCTTAATCTGCTGCTGAGCTCACTTGGAAGAATCCTCACACTACATCCATCACAGGATAACCCGATCTATAAATACCCTAAGTTACTGTCTCCAGGAAGGTGAGATCTGGTCAAATGGGTTCAATGACACAGTCAAAGTAGTTAAAGTGCAAGCCCACTGAGATACTAGTAAGACGAGCACCCTTAAAAAGACTCTGTTCCTGTGGCAGGAACTTCATCATACAAATGACATTCACTGTAACAACACATTAATAACAACCGATGTCACCGTCACCATTGATCCAGGGATCTATCTGGGATACCTAACTATGTACCCTGGTCAGCCATACCGGGAAATATATCACTTTGTTCAAAATAAGGATTTGAAAAATATTCTGAGTTTTCCTTATTAAACACTGCAATAAATGCAATAATGTTAAATCAAGAATTACAGTTATTGTAGGTCAGTTATCAGTGAAATACAAGTCACAAGTGTAAGCTTATAACGTCATGTATAAATTTGATTTATGAGAAAAGGTTCCAATATGGGAATTTTTGTCATGAGCTGAAGACTTAGGACTGAATACTCGCCTGTCAGCAGGCTAACATGAATCCCTGTCATTTTCGTACATACAGCATAAAACATTCACGTCAACACCATTGTATATATGGTTAGTACAGCTTGTTCATGGAAGTATTTACACAGAGTGCAAGTTTTCGACATGCAGGTCTAAAGATGGGCAGAGTACATTAGAGGAAGACCATTTTGGTCAGAGACCATATTCAGATCAGATAGTATATACAGTTAGGAGGCCAACTCTGACCACACACAGATCAGACACCACATTCAGACATCAGATGAGGCATACACACAGTTAGACACCACACACAGGCCAGATCATTGCACCACACACAGACCAGACACCAAACAGAGATGAGACACACACACAGATGAGGCACCACACACAAACTAGACACCACACACAGATCAGATACATTGTATCGGTCAGGCACCACACACAGACCAGACACCAAACAGAGATGAGACACCACACAAACCAGACACCACACACAGATCAGATACATTGTATTGGGCAGGCACCACACACAGACCAGACACCACACACAGATGAGGCACACACACAGATGAGACACACCACACACACAAACTAGACACCACACACAGATCAGATACATTGTATCGGTCAGGCACCACACACAGACCAGACACCAAACAGAGATGAGACACCACACACAAACTAGACACCACACACAGATCAGATACATTGTATTGGTCAGGCACCACACACAGACCAGACACCACACACAGACGAGGCACCACACACAGACCAGACACTACACACAGATGAGGCACTACACACAAACTAGACACCACACACAGATCAGATACATTGTATCGGGCAGGCATCACACACACACCAGACACCAAACAGAGATGAGACACCACACACAAACTAGACACCACACACAGATCAGATACATTGTATCAGTCAGGCACCACACACAGACAAGACACCAAACAGAGATGAGACACCACACACAAACTAGACACCACACACAGATCAGATACATTGTATTGGTCAGGCACCACACACAGACCAGACACCAAACAGAGATGAGACACCACACACAAACTAGACACCACACACAGATCAGATACATTGTATTGGTCAGGCACCACACACAGACAAGACACCAAACAGAGATGAGACACCACACACAAACCAGACACCACACACAGATCAGATACATTGTATCGGTAAGGCATCACACACAGACCAGACACCAAACAGAGATGAGACACCACACACAGATGAGACACCACACACAGACGAGACACCACACACAAACCAGACACCAAGCAGAGATCAGACACCACACACAAACCAGACACCACACACAGATCAGATACACACAGATTGGGCAGGCATCACACCACAGACCAGGACACCACACACAGACCAGACACCACACACAGATGAGGCACACACACACAGACCAGATCAGACATACACACACCACACACAAACCAGACACCACACAGAGATCAGACACCACACACAAACCAGACACCACACACAGATCAGATACATTGTATTGGGCAGGCACCACACACAGACCAGACACCACACACAGACCAAACACCACACACAGATGAGGCACCACACACAGACCAGACACCACACACAAACCAGACACCAAGCAGAGATCAGACACCACACACAAACCAGACACCACACACAGATCAGATACATTGTATTGGGCAGGCACCACACACAGACCAGACACCACACACAGACCAAACACCACACATAGATGAGGCACAGCACACAGACCAGACACCAAACAGAGATGAGACACCACACACAAACTAGACACCACACACAGATCAGATACATTGTATCAGTCAGGCACCACACACAGACAAGACACCAAACAGAGATGAGACACCACACACAAACTAGACACCACACACAGATCAGATACATTGTATTGGTCAGGCACCACACAGACACCACACTGAGACACCACACAGACACCAAACAGAGATGAGACACTACACACAAACTAGACACCACACACAGATCAGATACATTGTATTGGTCAGGCACCACACACAGACAAGACACCAAACAGAGATGAGACACCACACACAAACTAGACACCACACACAGATCAGATACATTGTATCGGTCAGGCACCACACACAGACAAGACACCAAACAGAGATGAGACACCACACACAAACCAGACACCACACACAGATCAGATACATTGTATTGGGCAGGCACCACACACAGACCAGACACCAAACAGAGATGAGACACCACACACAAACCAGACACCACACAGAGATCAGATACATTGTATTGGTCAGGCACCACACACAGATCAGACACCACACACAGACCAGACACCACACACAGATGAGACACCACACACAGACCAGACACCACACACAGACCAGACACCAAACAGAGATGAGACACCACACACCAACCAGACACCACACACAGATCAGATACATTGTATTGGGCAGGCACCACATAGACCAGACACCACACACAGACCAAACACCACACACAGATGAGGCACAACACACAGACCAGACACCACACAGATGAGGCACCACACACAGATGAGACACCACACACAGACCAGACACCACACACAGATGAGACACCACACACAGATGAGGCACAACATACAGACCAGACACCACACACAGATGACACTCTACACCCCAGGCAAACAATAGTTCATAATTCAGAATAGTTAAATCTTGCTAGTTTTACTACTGAAGTTACCACCAAGCTTGTACTCTTCACAGGCGACTGACATCACCCGACAGGTATTTGAGAGTACACAGCAACAAACACACGTCAGTTACTCTGTTATGGAATGGAGTCAAGACTTCCTTGATCTATGTATCCTGACACGAGACATACTTTTGACACTTCTTATTCCACTCCTTCAAAATTCTGTCAAATTTGTTTCGTTCATCAAATATCCTCTTCTCCGTGTAATGGTTAATAATTCTATACAGTTCCTTCTTCCCATCAGAGAAAACCTTTGCAAGATCTTGAGAGTGATCCCCACTCTTCTCCACTAAGATGGTCCACATCTGGTCCAGACCTTCCCATATGAAACTATTCTGTGGCATCTGCATGGCAGCATTCTCTTTAAAGCTCAAAGCCTCCATGAAGACCTTCATGGCCTTTTCTGAGTTGCCTCCCCTTTGATAGGCCTTGCCAAGGCTGATGAGACTCTCCACATGGGTGACGGATCCACTGGCCCCAGCTTTCCTCATGGCCACGGTTTTACTTAAGTAGACAACTGCTTTCTTGTAATTACCCATAGCCAGATAGAGTTTGCCATAGTTCTCCAAGGTGAGACCTTCTTCAAACCTGTGGGAAAAAGGAAATGAAGAAATATATTCAAAAGGTAGATTGTACTAGCCATTTGCAAAATTCGGGTAACTAATCATTTCAAACCAGCCTTTAAGACTTGTAAAATTTGATGGATCAACAGCACTGAGAACTAGTTGGAAATTCAGCCTTGATTCTTTTAAAAAATCATTGCTGGCACTGTTCAGGCTCTATAAACTGATAGCCGCCTTTGGGTAGTTCACGATACTATGAGACACAGCTCTCCACAGTGCTAGGCATCCCACAACCATGCATGGAGCTGAACACACAACCGACTGACAATAATATTTACAAATATGCAGTAACTGAAGCTAAACAATTTTTCCCCTCATAATTTGGAATTGGTAATTTTGTTAACTTCTAGTCAGCTCCTTGTCTTGATTCAAAACCTTTCAATACTTTTTTTGTTTTTGAAAGACAGATGATAGTAACGGATGAGGGAAAAGTAGAGTAAGAATTGAATAGGTTTGTTGGTGTGTCAGTTAGATGGAAGAAATATACTTCAGTTTAAGAAAGAAGGATGTGCCTTTGTACTATTATGAAGGCAGAGTAATTGGGGAAACATGTTTGGTTTAAATTAACACATAAGATTTTTGCCACATATCTTTTTTCATCATAAACTAATCTTCATTCATATTTTCTGTTTAATATATTCATTAAAAAATTGGACTCGTGAAGATCCGGGGTAGAATAGGTCTTCAGCAACCCATTCTTGTCATAAAAGGCGACTATGCTTGTCGTAAAAGGCGACTAACGGGATCGCGTGGTCAGGCTCGCTGACTTGGTTGACACATGTCATCGGTTCCCAATTGCGCAGATCAATGCTCATGCTGTTGATCACTGGATTGTCTGGTCCAGACTCGATTATTTACAGACCGCTGCCATATAGCTGGAATATTGCTGAGTGTGTCACTTTGTGGCAGTGGAAATAAAAGTTCATGCATTATGTTTCCATGACCAGCACAACAACACGATGAACATTTTGAAATGTTCATGGCCTTACTTGTAGATCTGTGAAGACTTCTCCAGCAGTTCCCAGGCTTCCTGCATAAGCTGTTCAGCAGCCTCGAAGTTCTTGCTCTCGATCTCGACGCAGGCGACATTGTTGAGGGAGATGATGATAGAGCTGGCGGTGGCTTTGGTTGCCCTCTTCACTTCCAACCCCTTCCTGTAGTGGTAGTTGGACTTCTCAATGTCCCCCATCTGGAGGTACAAGATGCCCATGTTGTTGTAGACAGACCCGATGTGGGGGTGGTTCTCACCGTGGAGGTGTATCCTTCGTTTCAACGACTCTCTGTGGTATTTCTCCCCTTCTTCAAAGTTTCCTGCGAAATTATCAAACGTTTCATGCATTGTTTGTTTGCAATAATAACAAATTTGTCAGAGTAGTAGCATACAATATTAGCTGTAGATGGTACACAGCACTTGTACTGACCGATGGCCGTGTTGACAATGGCCAGCACAGACAGGGTGGTGAGAACCACAGGTTGGTAGAACATCCCCTGCTGGATCTGGTGGTTCTTAGCCTCTTGCAGGTGTCTGCAAATAGAATCAAAACTTTTATCGTGCTGTACATGCTGTTGCAACAACCTACTATATTCTCAGTCTCACCACAACCTTCTATATTCTCAGTCTCACCACAACCTACTATATTCTCAGTCCCACCACAACCTTCTATATTCTCAGTCCCACCACAACCTTCTATATTCTCACTCTCAATACAACCTTCTATATTCTCAGTCTCACCACAACCTACTATATTCTCAGTCCCACCACAACCTACTATATTCTCACCACAACCTTCTATATTCTCAGTCTCACCACAAACTTCTATATTCTCACTCTCACCACCAACCCTACACCACCCCCAGTGTCACCATAAACTAATCTCACCCTCAGTCTCACCACAAACCCTACATCAACATCATTCTCACCACAAACCAGCCTCACCCTCAGTCTCACCACAAACCTACATCACCTCTCAGTCTCACCAAACCAGCCTCACCCAAGTCTCACCAAAACCCTACATCAGCATCAACTCACAAACCAGCCTCACCCTCAGTCTCACCATAAAACCCTACATCACCATCAATCTCACCACAAACCAACCTCACCATCCTCACCCTCAGCCTCACCCTCAGTCTCACCATAAACCCTACATCACCCTCAATCTCACCACAAACCAACCTCACCATCAATCTCACCACAAACCAGCCTCACCCTCAATCTCACCACAAACCAGCCTCACCATCAATCTCACCACAAACCAACCTCACCATCAATCTCACCACAAACCAACCTCACCCTCAGTCTCACCACAAACTAATCTCACCCTCAGTCTCACCACAAACCCTACATCACCCTCAATCTCACCACAAACCAACCTCACCATAAACCAGCCTCACCCTCAATCTCACCACAAACCCTACACCACCTTCAATCTCACCACAAACCAGCCTCACCCTCAATCTCACCACAAACCAACCTCACCCTCAGTCTCACCAGAAAGCAGCCTCACCTTCAGTCTCACCACAAACCCATCATCTCACCTCAGAGCAGCTTCTCGCTTCCCTTGCATATGAAGGTTCCAGCCCATGTTCTGATGCAGCTGTGACGCCATCATGATGGAGGCAGGGTCCTTGACAGCAAACACCAGCGCCCGTCTGTACATGCTCTCCCCTGCAGTGTAATCTGCCTAAAACACACAAAAACAGTTTGATGTTTCAAGGTGAATTTCTGCAAGATCAGAGATTTTTTCAAGAGAAAACTTTGTGTTGAGACTGAGGGTTCAATAAATAAACTGGACGCCAATGTACGCTGATGGATGTGGGGGTGGAATTGAGAATTCAGAACCTGGAATATCATTTTGAAAAATGACTAAGCTCATTTCCACATGAACTCACACAGACATGGCACCACACTGGAATATTATGATTGACTCGATGATACCTGCTTCCTGATCAGAAGCATGCACAGAAGAATCGCTGAATCAATGACTTCTGGCGAACATAAAATTAATGAGATATTGAAAATACCAAACAGAATGGCATGTAGTGTTTTTCAATCTGGACAGTTCACATGCACATATTTAACAGAACACACATTCACACCCAACATCACTGAACAATTAGCTTTTCACTTAGTTATCTCTTGCTTGCAAACCACATGGTGCATTTGTTATCAATATTTGAAATTAGCTGTATAATATCTCCAGACTTGAATGCTTTGGTCACTCATACTGAGAACTTATAAGCCTCGACACTGATTGGCTGATAAGAAAGTTCATCTGAACACCCATGGAAGGGTTGCCAGTTCTTCACGAGAGTCGGAGAGACACTGACCTTGACATTAGTGAGTACCCTGCCATAAGCACTGCTGACTACAGCATCATCTCTGGGTTTGTCATACATCTCACACAGCTCGAGACACTTCGTGTAGAATCTGTAGCTCTCACCTGAAAGTTCCCAAGAAAGAATGGAATCAAGGTCAAGGACATCTTGAACTGATGCTGGTTGCCAGAGTGATGTGACAGTGTACATTTAATGTATAAAAACATTCAGTTTTCCAGGCAAGAAATGTACAACAGGCATATATGAATAAATCAACATTCTTCCTGTCACTAGTTTCTATATCAACTTAAAAAACCTAAGTAATGAACTACAACCTAAATGTAGAGTATCTACCTTTAGTTAATAGTATCTTGTCATACTGACAATTACTGATCAGCCTGGGGATGGTAAACTAGTGGCTGATGGCATGATCAACGACACACAATCAGCTAGGTCACACATCATACCATCAATCCATATGTTGGTCACCTAGGTCACACATTGTACCATCTATTCCCATGTTGGTCCGCTAGGTAACACATCGTACCATCTATTCCCATGTTGGTCAGCTAGGTTACACATCGTACCATCAATCCATATGTAGGTCAGCTAGGTCACACATTGTACCATCAATCCCCATGTTGGTCAGCTAGGTCACACATCGTACCATCAATCCATATGTTGGTCAGCTAGGTCACACATTGTACCATCAATCCCCATGTTGGTCAGCTAGGAGTCGCAATTTATACCATCAATCCTATGTTGGTCAGCTGGGTCACACATTAATACCATCTAATCCCCATGTTGGTCAGCTAGGTCACACATCGTACCATCAATCCATATGTTGGTCAGCTAGGTCACACATTGTACCATCAATCCCTATGTTGGTCAGCTATAGGTCACACATCGTACCATCAATCCCTATGTTGGTCAGCTAGGTCACACATTGTACCATCAATCCCTATGTTGGTCAGCTAGGTCACAATATCGTACCATCAATCCATATGTTGGTCAGCTGGGTCGCATTGTACCATCAATCCCTATGTTGGTCAGCTAGATGGGTCACACATCGTACCATCAATCCCTATGTTGGTCAGCTAGGTCACACATTGTACCATCAATCCCCATGTTGGTCAGCTAGGTCACACATTGTACCATCAATCCCTATGTTGGTCAGCTAGGTCAACACATTGTACCATCAATCCCTATGTTGGTCAGCTAGGGTCACATTGTACCATCAATCCCTATGTTGGTCAGCTGGGTCGCATCATTGTACCATCACATGTCGTTGTCAGCTATGGGTACCATTGTACCATCAATCCCATGTTGGTCAGCTAAGGTCACATTGTACCATCAATCCCCATGTTGGTCAGCTATAGGTCACACATTGTACCATCAATCCCTATGTTGGTCAAAAGGTCACACATCGTACCATCAATCCCCATGTTGGTCAGCTAGGTCACACATCATACCATCAATCCCCTATGTTGGTCAGCTAGGGTCACACATTGTACCATCAATCCCCATGTTGGTCAGCTAGGTCACACATCATATTATCAATCCCTATGTTGGTCAGCTAGGTCTGCACATCGTACCATCAATCCTATGCTGGTCAGCAAGGTCCAATATTATAACATCAATCCCTATGTTGGTCAGCTGGGTCACATTGTACCATCAATCCCCATGTTGGTCAGCTAGGTCACACATTGTACCATCAATCCTATGTTGGTCAGCTAGGTCACACATCATACCATCAATCCCTATGTTGGTCAGCTGGGTCACACATTGTACCATCAATCCCCATGTTGGTCAGCAAGGGTCACACATCGTACCATCAATCCCCATGTTGGTCAGCTGGGTCACACATTTGTACCATCAATCCCCATGTTGGTCAGCTAGGGTCACACATTGTACCATCAATCCCTATGCTGGTCAGCTAGGTCACACATTGTACCATCAATCCCCATGTTGGTCAGCTATAGGTCTCACATCGTACCATCAATCCCTATGTTGGTCACCAAGGTCACACATCGTACCATCAATCCCCTATGTTGGTCAGCTAGGTCACACATTGTACCATCAATTCCCATGTTGGTCAGCTAGGTCAGACATCGTCATCAATCCCCATCAGCTAGGTATCGTCATCCATGTTGGTCAGCTAGGTCACACATCGTACCATCAATCCATATGTTGGTCAGCTAGGTCACACATTGTACCATCAATCCCCATGTTGGTCAGCTAGGTCACACATCGTACCATCAATCCCCATGTTGGTCAGCTAGGTCACACATTGTACCATCAATCCCTATGTTGGTGGTCAGCTAGGTCACACATCGTACCATCAATCCCTATAATGTTCAATGGTGGCAAGGTCACACATCGGTACCATCAATCCCTATGTTGGTCAGCTAGGTCACATTGTACCATCAATCCCATGTTGGTCAGCTAGGTTACACATCAATTACCATCAATCCATATGTTGGTCAGCTAGGTCACACATTGTACCATCAATCCCCATGTTGGTCAGCTAGGTCACACATCGTACCATCAATCCCCATGTTGGTCAGCTAGGTCACACATTGTACCATCAATCCCCATGTTGGTCAGCTAGGTCACACATCGTACCATCAATCCCTATATTGGTCAGCAAGGTCCAATATTATAACATCAATCCCTATGCTGGTCAGCTAGGTCACACATTGTACCATCAATCCCTATGTTGGTCAGCTAGGTCACACATTGTACCATCAATCCCATGTTGGTCAGCAAGGTCACACATTGTACCATCAATCCCTATGTTGGTCAGCTAGGTCACACATTGTACCATCAATCCCTATGTTGGTCAGCTAGGTAACACATTGTACCATCAATCCCTATGTTGGTCAGCTAGGTCACACATTGTACCATCAATCCCTATGCTGGTCAGCAAGGTCTGCACATTGTACCATCAATCCCCATGTTGGTCAGCTATAGGTCGCATCCCTATTACCATCAATCCTATGTTTGGTCAGCAAGGTCACACATCGTACCATCAATCCCCATGTTGGTCAGCTGGGTCACACATCGTACCATCAATCCCCTATGTTGGTACCCAGCTAGGTCACATTGTACCATCAATCCCTATGTTGGTCAGCTAGGTCACATTGTACCATCAATCCCTATGTTGGTCAGCTAGGGTCACACATCGTGCCATCAATCCTAATGTTTGGTCAGCAAGGTCACATATTATACCATCAATCCCTATGTTGGTCAGCTAGGTCACACATTGTACCATCAATCCCCATGTTGGTCAGCTAGGTCACACATTGTACCATCAATCCCTATGTTGGTCAGCTAGGTCACACATCGTACCATCAATCCCTATGTTGGTCAGCAAGGTCCAATATTGTAACATCAATCCCTATGCTGGTCAGCTAGGTCACACATTGTACCATCAATCCCTATGTTGGTCAGCTAGGTCACACATTGTACCATCAATCCCCATGTTGGTCAGCTAGGTCACACATTGTACCATCAATCCCCATGTTGGTCAGCTATGGGTCACACATTGTACCATCAATCCCTATGTTGGTCGGCTGGGTCACACATTGTACCATCAATCCCCATGTTGGTCAGCTAGGTCACACATTGTACCATCAATCCCTATGTTGGTCAGCTATAGGTCACACATTGTACCATCAATCCCTATGTTGGTCAGTTATAGGTCACACATCGTACCATCAATCCCTATGTTGGTCAGCTAGGTCACACATCGTACCATCAATCCCCTATGTTGGTCAGCTAGGTCACACATTGTACCATCAATCCCTATGTTGGTCAGCTAGGTCACACATTGTACCATCAATCCCTATGTTGGTCAGCAAGGTCACACATTGTACCATCAATCCCTATGTTGGTCAGCTAGGTCACACATTGTACCATCAATCCCTATGTTGGTCAGCTAGGTCACACATTGTACCATCAATCCCTATGTTGGTCAGCTAGGTCACACATTGTACCATCAATCCCTATGCTGGTCAGCAAGGTCACACATTGTACCATCAATACCTATGTTGGTCAGCTATAGGTCACACATCGTACCATCAATCCCCATGTTGGTCAGCTAGGTCACACATCATACCATCAATCCCTATGTTGGTCAGCTAGGTCACACATTGTACCATCAATCCCCATGTTGGTCAGCTAGGTCACACATCATACCATCAATCCCTATGTTGGTCAGCTAGGTCACACATCGTACCATCAATCCCTATGCTGGTCAGCAAGGTCCAATATTATAACATCAATCCCTATGCTGGTCAGCTAGGTCACACATTGTACCATCAATCCCCATGTTGGTCAGCTAGGTCACACATTGTACCATCAATCCCTATGTTGGTCAGCTAGGTCACACATCATACCATCAATCCCCATGTTGGTCAGCTAGGTCACACATTGTACCATCAATCCCCATGTTGGTCAGCAAGGTCACACATCATACCATCAATCCCCATGTTGGTCAGCTAGGTCACACATCATACCATCAATCCCCATGTTGGTCAGCTAGGTCACACATTGTACCATCAATCCCTATGCTGGTCAGCAAGGTCACACATTGTACCATCAATCCCCATGTTGGTCAGTTATAGGTCACACATCGTACCATCAATCCCTATATTGGTCAGCAAGGTCACACATCGTACCATCAATCCCCATGTTGGTCAGCTAGGTCACACATTGTACCATCTATTCCCATGTTGGTCCGCTAGGTCAGACATCGTACCATCTATTCCCATGTTGGTCAGCTAGGTTACACATCGTACCATCAATCCAATATGTAGGTCAGCTAGGTCACACATTGTACCATCAATCCCCATGTTGGTCAGCTAGGTCACACATCGTACCATCAATCCCCATGTTGGTCAGCTAGGTCACACATCGTACCATCAATCCCTATGTTGGTCAGCAAGGTCCAATATTATAACATCAATCCCTATGCTGGTCAGCTAGGTCACACATTGTACCATCAATCCCTATGTTGGTCAGCTAGGTCACACATTGTACCATCAATCCCCATGTTGGTCAGCAAGGTCACACATTGTACCATCAATCCCTATGTTGGTCAGCTAGGTCACACATCATACCATCAATCCCTATGCTGGTCAGCAAGGTCACACATTGTACCATCAATCCCCATGTTGGTCAGCTATAGGTCACACATCGTACCATCAATCCCTATGTTGGTCAGCAAGGTCACACATCGTACCATCAATCCCCATGTTGGTCAGCTAGGTCACACATCATACCATCAATCCCTATGTTGGTCCTCTAGGTCACACATTGTACCATCAATCCCCATGTTGGTCAGCTACGTCACACATCATACCATCAATCCCTATGTTGGTCAGCTAGGTCACACATCGTACCATCAATCCCTATGCTGGTCAGCAAGGTCCAATATTATAACATCAATCCCTATGCTGGTCAGCTAGGTCACACATTGTACCATCAATCCCCATGTTGGTCAGCTAGGTCACACATTGTACCATCAATCCCTATGCTGGTCAGCTAGGTCACACATTGTACCATCAATCCCCATGTTTGTCAGCAAGGTCACACATCATACCATCAATCCCCATGTTTGTCAGCTAGGTCACACATCATACCATCAATCCCCATGTTGGTCAGCTAGGTCACACATTGTACCATCAATCCCCATGTTGGTCAGCTAGGTCACACATTGTACCATCAATCCCCATGTTGGTCAGCTAGGTCACACATCATACCATCAATCCCCATGTTGGTCAGCTAGGTCACACATCATACCATCAATCCCCATGTTGGTCAGCAAGGTCACACATTGTACCATCAATTTCACACACCTCCAAAAAAGTTTTGAATAACTTCTGAAGAGGATTCCACCATCTGAATATAGACGGGGTATGTCTCTTGGTTCGAATGCCTGACATCCATCATGAGCTTTTGAAGGTTGGGATGTTCTACGGCCAGGTCAGCAACAGCTTCAGTGTAGTCCTTGGTGCCCAGCTTCCGCGACAGCTGATTCATCACCTCACTGAAGGTCTGGCAGTAGCGGCGCCGCACATCTGAAAGATCCATGATCGCAAATCACATGCTATGTCCCAATCATTAGCATCAAATTACATAAAGCCTTGAAAGTAATACCTGGTATTAATCAACATATCTGTTTGTTTATTGATGACATATTTCATTTATTTCATGCCATGTAAATTCCCTATGTTTCATGTTACGTCAATATATTTTTAGCACTCACGTGGTGATTTAGCAGTACTTTTATGCATTACCACAGAATGCCTTTGAGAAAGTGATCAAATATAACATAGTACTCACTTATGATTGACAATCATAAATCAACTGTAATCATACATGTGACCCCGTTATAACGGCATAATGCACTCGTTCTCTCAGTTTAATTCTCAGATATTAATTTGTTAGAGTTGGGTGAGTAATATAGAAAATACTAAACAATGTACTGTGTAATACCATATTTATGAAACTCGTGAATGGTATTGGTATCTGACTTGCTTTCGCTCGTTAGATACCAAGCAAATCACTCATTTCATAAATACAGAATTACACGGGACATTTTTAAGTTTTCTTTCTATATATGTCACCTGTAAGGTTCTCTACAGACAGTCCTTGTGTCTGGTTATCTCACCTGTAAAGTTCTCTACAGACAGTCCTTGTGTCTGGTTATCTCACCTGTAAGGTTCTCTACAGAAAGTCCTTGTGTCTGGTTATCTCACCTGTAAGGTTCTCTACAGACAGTCCTTGTGTCTGGTTATCTCACCTGTAAGGTTCTCTACAGACAGTCCTTGTGTCTGGTCATCTCACCTGTAAAGTTCTCTACAGACAGTCAGTGTGTCTGGTTATCTCACCTGTAAGGTTCTCTACAGACAGTCCTTGTGACTGGTTATCTCACCTGTAAGGATCTCTAATGACAGTCCTTGTGTCTGGTTATCTCACCTGTAAGGATCTCTAATGACAGTCCTTGTGTCTGGTTATCTCACCTGTAAAGTTCTCTACAGACAGTCCTTGTGTCTGGTTATCTCACCTGTAAGGTTCTCTACAGACAGTCAGTGTGTCTGGTTATCTCACCTGTAAGGATCTCTACAGACAGTCCTTGTGTCTGGTTATCTCACCTGTAAGGATCTCTACAGACAGTCCTTGTGTCTGGTTATCTCACCTGTAAAGTTCTCTACAGACAGTCCTTGTGTCTGGTTATCTCACCTGTAAGGTTCTCTACAGACAGTCAGTGTGTTTGGTTATCTCACCTGTAAGGATCTCTACAGACAGTCAGTGTGTCTGGTTATCTCACCTGTAAGGATCTCTACAGACAGTCCTTGTGTCTGGTTATCTCATCTGTAAGGATCTCTACAGACAGTCCTTGTGTCTGGTTATGTCACCTGTAAAGTTCTCTACAGACAGTCAATGTGTCTGGTTATCTCACCTGTAAGGTTCTCTACAGACAGTCCTTGTGTCTCGTCATCTCACCTGTAAGGATCTCTACAGACAGTCCCTTGTGTCTGGTTATCTCACTACAGACAGTCCTTGTGTCTGTAAGGTTCTCTACAGACAGTCCTTGTGTCTGGTCATCTCACCTGTAAGGTTCTCTACAGACAGTCCTTGTGTCTGGTTATCTCACCTGTAAGATTCTCTACAGACAGTCCTTGTGTCTGGTTATCTCACCTGTAAGGTTCTCTACAGACAGTCCTTGTGTCTGGGTATCTCACCTGTGGGTTCTCTACAGACAGTCCTTGTGTCTGGTTATCTCACCTATAAGGTTCTCTACAGACAGTCCTTGTGTCTGGGTATCTCACCTGTAAGATTCTCTACAGACAGTCCTCCTGTGTCTGGTTATCTCACCTGTAAGGTTCTCTACAGACAGTCCTTGTGTCTGGGTATCTCACCTGTAAGGTTCTCTACAGACAGTCCTTGTGTCTGGTTATCTCACCTGTAAGATTCTCTACAGACAGTCAGTGTGTCTGGTTATCTCACCTGTAAGATTCTCTACAGACAGTCCTTGTGTCTGGTCATCTCACCTGTAAGGTTCTCTACAGACAGTCCTTGTGTCTGGTCATCTCACCTGTAAGGTTCTCTACAGACAGTTCTTGTGTCTGGTTATCTCACCTGTAAGGTTCTCTATGCTGAAGTACACCTCCAGACAGTCCTTGAGGATACCGTGGATGTTGTATCTGCGTTGTGGTGCATCAAACTGCACCATGTGTCGACGCATCAGAGGAGACAGTGTCCTGTCTTTCACAGATTGAAGGGAGGTCTCATCTACAAGATAAAATGTTAACATAATGAAGAGTAGGACATTCCTTGAAAGGCTTCTATTAATGATACCAAATACCCTGGGTTCAGAATCTTATTGCACACACACAATGCTCTAGAACCAAACAACTGGGGCTCCCAATCTGATAGCACACACACAACACCCAGACACCTGCCATCCAACACCCTGACACCAGCCATCCGACACCTGCCATCCAACACCCAGACACCTGCCATCCAACACCCAGACACCTGCCTTCCAACACCCAGACACCTGCTATCCAACACCCAGAAACCTGCCATCAGACACCCAGACACCAGCATTCAGTCACACAGGGACCTGACACCAGGTCCAGGAATGCTAGAACTCCAGACTGTATTCAAACAAATGGATACATAGGGGTATGTTTAGGAGCGCCATAGACAACCCCCAACTTACCCAGCATACGCTGAGCATGTCCAGTAGTGAAGGAGCCTGGGATATATCCCAACACAGCCAGTCTTTGTCGGAACACCTCGGACAACCTTCTGATAAAGTTCCTGTACACTGGCCCTGTCAACAGACATTCAGAGATTTCAACCATGCAATAACTGCAAGTATTGTACACCTCAGGAAAGATAACGCTTCATTTGCTCTCCAGATTCCCTATAAAAGCACCTGCAGTGAAAAATAGAAAATATCTACTCACTAGTCTATTAGCTTTGTAGAGAAAATGATGGCATGACCAATCCAAAGAGAAAGAGAACATAATAATTGTTTTTAGGTAATCTTACAATTTGCCAAAGATGTTCACTTTCTCAAAAATAAAAGGTGGATATCTACACTCCTGAAACACAAGATCTAGCTGGGACACATGAACTAACTGGGAACACATGATCTAGCTATGACACATGATCTAACTGGGAACACATGATCTAGCTATGACACATGAACTAACTGGGAACACATGATCTAGCTGGGAAACATGAACTAAATGGGAACATGTGAGGTGACTGGGAACACATGATCTAGCTATGACCCATGATCTACCTGGACACATGATCTAACTGGGAACACATGATCTAGCTATGACACATGATCTAACTGAGAACACAGGATCTAGCTGTGACATATGATCTAACTGGGAACACATGATCTAGCTGGGACATGAACTGGCTAGGGACACACGAGCTATAAACATATTAAGGAAGAGGGTTTTTATGGATGTCAACTTCTTTATTATGAAGAACAAAATGTTTCGGAGTATATCCTTACTCCTTCATCAGGCGTATGAAAGTTATAAAGCACAGTGCATTTCTCTTATGTATCACTTATACATGCCACTTAAACACTTGAGCTAAACACACATCAGTTAGCTAGGGGCACATGTGCTGGTTTGGGGCACATGGGCTAGTCAAATACTTCAGGGGGCTAGGGACCAGTCTCACCGATCTGTTCCTCTTCTGCGTAGCTGCAGTCTCTACTCCAGGCCTCAAGGCGGACCTGCGTGCCATCTGAAATGTCATTAGGGTGAGTGAGTGAGTGCATGCTGTAGTGCTCCAGCTACATCATGGCAATCTGGAAATGCTGATCTGGGTGCTGTTGTACAAAACAACCTTATCGCTAAAACTACCTTGTCCATGTTAAGGTATGGGAGTTACTGTCACCTTAGTGCTAAGACTACCTTGTCCATGTTAAGGTATGGGAGTTACTGTCACCTTAGTGCTAAGACTACCTTGTCCATGTTAAGGTATGGGAGTTACTGTCACCTTAGTGCTAAGACTACCTTGTCCATGTTAAGGTATGGGAGTTACCGTCACCTTAAGCTAAGACTACCTTGTCTATGTTAAGGAATGGGAGTTACTGTCACTTTAGTGCTAAGACTACCTTGTCCATGTTAAGGTATGGGAGTTACTGTCACCTTAGTGCTAAGACTACCTTGTCCATGTTAAGGTATGGGAGTTACTGTCACCTTAGTGCTAAGACTACCTTGTCCATGTTAAGGTATGGGAGTTACTGTCACCTTAGTGCTAAGACTACCTTGTTTATGTTAAGGTATGGGAGTTACCGTCACCTTAGTGCTAAGACTACCTTGTCCATGTTAAGGTATGGGAGTTACCGTCACCTTAGTGCTAAGACTACCTTGTCCATGTTAAGGTATGGGAGTTACTGTCACCTTAAGCTAAGACTACCTTGTCTATGTTAAGGTATGGGAGTTACTGTCACCTTAGTGCTAAGACTACCTTGTCTATGTTAAGGTATGGGAGTTACTGTCACCTTAGTGCTAAGACTACCTTGTCTATGTTAAGGTATGGGAGTAACCGTCACCTTAGCACTAAGACTACCTTGTCCATGTTAAGGTATTGGAGTGACCGTCACCTTAGCACTAAGACTACCTTGTCCATGTTAAGGTATTGGGTGACCGTCACCTTAGTGCTAAGACTACCTTGTCCATGTTAAGGTATGGGAGTTACTGTCACCTTAGTGCTAAGACTACCTTGTCTATGTTAAGGTATGGGAGTTACTGTCACCTTAGTGCTAAGACTACCTTGTCCATGTTAAGGTATGGGAGTTACCGTCACCTTAGTGCTAAGACTACCTTGTCCATGTTAAGGTATGGGAGTTACTGTCACCTTAGTGCTAAGACTACCTTGTCCATGTTAAGGTATGGGAGTTACTGTCACCTTAGTGCTAAGACTACCTTGTCCATGTTAAGGTATGGGAGTTACTGTCACCTTAGTGCTAAGACTACCTTGTCCATGTTAAGGTATGGGAGTTACTGTCACCATAGTGCTAAGACTACCTTGTCTATGTTAAGGTATGGGAGTTACCGTCACCTTAGTGCTAAGACTACCTTGTCCATGTTAAGGTATGGGAGTTACTGTCACCTTAGTGCTAAGACTACCTTGTCCATGTTAAGGTATGGGAGTTACTGTCACCTTAGTGCTAAGACTACCTTGTCCATAGTAAGGTATGGGAGTTACTGTCACCTTAGAGCTAAGACTACCTTGTCCATGTTAAGGTATGGGAGTTACTGTCACCTTAGTGCTAAGACTACCTTGTCCATAGTAAGGTATGGGAGTTACTGTCACCTTAGTGCTAAGACTACCTTGTCCATGTTAAGGTATGGGAGTTACCGTCACCTTAGTGCTAAGACCACCTTGTCCATAGTAAGGTATGGGAGTTACTGTCACCTTAGTGCTAAGACTACCTTGTCCATGTTAAGGTATGGGAGTTACTGTCACCTTAGTGCTAAGACTACCTTGTCCATGTTAAGGTATGGGAGTTACTGTCACCTTAGTGCTAAGACTACCTTGTCCATGTTAAGGTATGGGAGTTACTGTCACCTTAGTGCTAAGACTACCTTGTCTATGTTAAGGTATGGGAGTTACTGTCACCTTAGTGCTAAGACTACCTTGTCCATGTTAAGGTATTGGAGTTACCGTCACCTTAGTGCTAAGACCACCTTGTCCATAGTAAGGTATGGGAGTTACTGTCACCTTAGTGCTAAGACTACCTTGTCCATGTTAAGGTATGGGAGTTACTGTCACCTTAGTGCTAAGACTACCTTGTCCATGTTAAGGTATGGGGGTTACTGTCACCTTAGCGCTAAGACTACCTTGTCCATAGTAAGGTATGGGAGTTACTGTCACCTTAGTGCTAAGACTACCTTGTCCATGTTAAGGTATGGGAGTTACTGTCACCTTAGTGCTAAGACTACCTTGTCCATGTTAAGGTATGGGAGTTACCGTCACCTTAGTGCTAAGACTACCTTGTCCATGTTAAGGTATGGGAGTTACCGTCACCTTAGTGCTAAGACTACCTTGTCCATGTTAAGGTATGGGAGTTACTGTCACCTTAGTGCTAAGACTACCTTGTCCATGTTAAGGTATGGGAGTTACCGTCACCTTAGTGCTAAGACTACCTTGTCCATGTTAAGGTATGGGAGTTACCGTCACCTTAGTGCTAAGACCACCTTGTCCATAGTAAGGTATGGGAGTTACCATCACCTTAAGCTAAGACTACCTTGTCCATGTTAAGGTATGGGAGTTACTGTCACCTTAAGCTAAGACTACCTTGTCCATGTTAAGGTATGGGAGTTCCTGTCACCTTAGTGCTAAGACTACCTTGTCCATGTTAAGGTATGGGAGTTACTGTCACCTTAGTGCTAAGACTACCTTGTCCATGTTAAGGTATGGGAGTTACCGTCACCTTAGTGCTAAGACTACCTTGTCCATGTTAAGGTATGGGAGTTACTGTCACCTTAGTGCTAAGACTACCTTGTCCATGTTAAGGTATGGGAGTTACTGTCACCTTAGCGCTAAGACTACCTTGTCCATGTTAAGGTATGGGAGTGACCGTCACCTTAGTGCTAAGACTACCTTTTCCATGTTAAGGTATGGGAGTTACTGTCACCTTAGTGCTAAGACTACCTTAAGTCCATGTTAAGGTATGGGAGTTACTGTCACCTAAGTGCTAAGACTACCTTGTTTATGTTAAGGTATGGAAGTTACTGTCACCTTAGTGCTAAGACTACCTTGTCCATGTTAAGGTATGGGAGTTACTGTCACCTTAGTGCTAAGACTACCTTGTCCATGTTAAGGTATGGGAGTTACTGTCACCTTAGTGCTAAGACTACCTTGTCTATGTTAAGGTATGGGAGTTACTGTCACCTTAGCGCTAAGACTACCTTGTCCATGTTAAGGTATGGGAGTTACCGTCACCTTAGCACTAAGACTACCTTGTCCATGTTAAGGTATGGGAGTTACTGTCACCTTAGTGCTAAGACTACCTTGTCTATGTTAAGGTATGGGAGTTACTGTCACCTTAGTGCTAAGACTACCTTGTCTATGTTAAGGTATGGGAGTTACTGTCACCTTAGTGCTAAGACTACCTTGTCCATGTTAAGGTATGGGAGTTACTGTCACCTTAGTGCTAAGACTACCTTGTCCATGTTAAGGTATGGGAGTTACCGTCACCTTAAGCTAAGACTACCTTGTCCATGTTAAGGTATGGGAGTTACTGTCACCTTAGTGCTAAGACTACCTTGTCCATGTTAAGGTATGGGAGTTACGTCACCTTAGTGCTAAGACTACCTTGTCCATGTTAAGGTATGGGAGTTACTGTCACCTTAGTGCTAAGACTACCTTGTCCATGTTAAGGTATGGGAGTTACTGTCACCTTAGTGCTAAGACTACCTTGTCCATGTTAAGGTATGGGAGTTACGTCACCTTAGTGCTAAGACTACCTTGTCCATGTTAAGGTATGGGAGTTACTGTCACCTTAGTGCTAAGACTACCTTAAGTCCATGTTAAGGTATGGGAGTTACCGTCACCTTAAGCTAAGACTACCTTGTCCATGTTAAGGTATGGGAGTTACCGTCACCTTAGTGCTAAGACTACCTTAAGTCCATGTTAAGGTATGGGAGTTACCGTCACCTTAGCGGTAAGACTACCATGTCTATGTTAAGGTATGGGAGTTACTGTCACCTTAGTGCTAAGACTACCTTAAGTCCATGTTAAGGTATGGGAGTTACTGTCACCTTAAGCTAAGACTACCTTGTCCATGTTAAGGTATGGGAGTTACTGTCACCTTAGTGCTAAGACTACCTTAAGTCCATGTTAAGGTATGGGAGTTACCGTCACCTTAGAGCTAAGACTACCTTGTCCATGTTAAGGTATGGGAGTTACTGTCACCTTAGTGCTAAGACTACCTTGTCCATGTTAAGGTATGGGAGTTACCGTCACCTTAGCACTAAGACTACCTTGTCCATGTTAAGGTATGGGAGTTACCGTCACCTTAGCGCTAAGACTACCATGTCTATGTTAAGGTATGGGAGTGACCGTCACCTTAGCTCTAAGTTTGTTTGTATAACGCCACCCTGGGCCACACAAACCAGTGACAAGGCACATGCATCATGCCACACCTTTGGAGGCACACAATGAGCCACACAGCTCGTGTGGCAAGCATGGAATATTCATGACAACCAGAAATTATTGAGAATTTAAAGATTGTAAATTTTTAATATTTATTTCACTCATTACTCACGTATTAAATGTGAATATTAGCAGAACATAACTCCAGATACAAAGACAGGTGAACAGTTAGTATTTTGTCAAGTCACCATGGGCAGCAATGCAGGCTTCAATGCGGCGGGGCATACTACTGATCAAAGAAGTTAGAAAGTCATGGTCCATGCTGTCCCAATATCGGACCACCTCTTCTTTCATTTCAGCAATATTTGTCAGATTTTTCTTATTGACACTTTCCTTCATAAGTCCCCAAACATTTTCTATTGGATTTAGGTCAGGGCTATAGCTTGGCCAATCTAATAATGTCATATTTTGGGTCCGAAACCAGGCCTGTGAATGCTTTGAACGATGTTTTGGGTCGTTGTCCTGCTGGAAAATTCAAAAATTTCCATAGAACATGTGAGAAGATGGAAGTAAATGTCCCTCGAGAATATCTGTGTATGCAGCTCACTGTTCATATTCCCTTCAAATACACAGAGAGCGTTGCCCTAACACAGATATGCCACCCCTGCGTTAAATTTCGGACTGTACTTTGGGGCACTGATACAAAGGTTTTTTTCAGTTTGTTTGGTCCAGAATTTCAGTGTATTAGGAAACAGCCACACAGAACTTTCACCTGAGAAAATCACTTTGTCCCAGTTAAAATTTCTATGCTGTAAGCACCAGTTCAACCTTCGCTCCTTTTGTTCAGGTTTCATGATCGGTGATGGACTTCCTCGACTTTTCTGCCAACCCATTGCATGCAGCTCAGTTCTAATTGTCATCTAACAGACAGCCACAGTTCCTCTATCAATCATATCCAGCCTTAAGTTTTCTAAACTCCTTCGTTTGTTTTTAGAAACAAGAATACCAAGCCACCTCCTGTCACCGACAGTCAATTTTCTGAGCCTACCTGCGCCTCCCTGGTGCTCAATGCCATATCCATTTGCAATATTTTTCAAAACACGATAAACAGTGGAAAAAGTGAGGCCTGTTCTACTTGAAATCACTTTAGTTGATCCGATGTCCTTGTTGTAATACTGTAAAATCAACTTCCTCTTCTCTAAATCATCCATACTGAGGATCACTGAAAATGTCGTCTGCTAGCAAGTAAACAAAGGGGGATAACTCTTCACAAACTAATGAAAAAGGATTAACGGAGTTGTCTCTCTTGAATGAAACCAAGCACTTGATAGCTGGTCAAGGTTGTTTATACTAGAAATCCAAATAAACATATTCCTAAAATTCTCAATAATTTCTGGTCATACTATACCACTAATGACCAACATGACCACTCTACTTTTGCGGAGACTACTTTTTAGTACAACATGATCACTAATCAGTCTGATCACCTGTCAATATGAGAGTATCTGACCAAACTGAAACATCAGATAATCACAGAATATATTTGTATTCCCCAAACAACTCTCAGTAGCATGTATCTGATCCACCTGATGCCATTACAGCTTGGCACTGATGATTAATGCTCCAAATAAGTGTATTGAGGCCTAATTTTTTTTTTGTGGTTCCGATTACCCGGCCAACCCTTGAATTCTAGTTACGAGGTATGAATAAAATAAACTTTCAGATACCATTGTTGTTTCCTGGCACCAACGGACATCAGTCAGGGCAAGATGGACAGGGCATTGGTAGAAGGCTATCTGGAGCTGCCAGAAGGACAGGGCATTGTTAGAAGACTATCTAGAGTTGCCAGATGGACATGGCATTGTTAGAAGGCTATCTGGAGTTGCCAGAAGGACAGGGCATTGTTAGAAGGCTATCTAGGGTTGCCAGAAGGACAGGGCATTGTTAGATGACTATCTGGAGTTGCCAGAAGGACAGGGCATTGTTAGAAGGCTATCTGGAGTTGCCAGAAGGACAGGGCATTGTTAGATGACTATCTGGAGTTGCCAGAAGGACAGGGCATTGTTAGAAGGCTATATGGAGTTGCCAGAAGGACAGGGGCATTGTTAGATGACTATCTGGAGTTGCCAGAAGGACAGGGCATTGTTAGAAGACTATCTAGAGTTGCCAGATGGACATGGCATTGTTAGAAGAGCTATCTGGAGTTACCAGAAGGACAGGGCATTGTTAAAAGGCTATCTAGGGTTGCCAGAAGGACAGGGCATTGTTAGATGACTATCTGGAGTTGCCAGAAGGACAGGGCATTGTTAGAAGGCTATCTGGAGTTGCCAGAAGGACAGGGCATTGTTAGATGACTATCTGGAGTTGCCAGAAGGACAGGGCATTGTTAGAAGACTATATGGAGTTGCCAGAAGGACAGGGCATTGTTAGAAGACTATATGGAGTTGCCAGAAGGACAGGGCATTGTTAGAAGGCTATCTGGAGTTGCCAGAAGGACAGGGCAAAAAGAGATTGAAATATCCCGGTACACAATGACGACGTAACCCCTATTTGACCTCTATTCCATGCTGAATGGACAGAGGCAAGCAGTCATGGAAACAGTGTCACAGTGTCATCAGATTGATTATTAATCACATGTCGTATTTGATATTGTGTGCCACATGACAGTGGACAGTGGACATTTGGCCTTTTCAGCAGATGCATACAATCTGAAGCACCACCTTTTGAAGTGGTGCTTCTATGCAAACTTTAAGTACTATATAGAACTGTGAAGCCTGTTTCGACATTCAGACAATGAGGAAGAAATGCTCTGTCACCTGAGTCATCATCACAAGCCTCCAGTCGACTCTGGGTTAAGATGTCCACCATCTGGTCTGGAGTCAGGAAATGATTGTCTATCTCCAGCTCTGAGCCTGAAACCAATTGAGAGTCAAATATTACCAAAAATTCACAAACTGCTAATAGTTACAAGATAATACATGATTACTTTCAAATGTAAATTCTCTTTGATGATATATATTTCTTGTCGCTATGCAAATTAAACGTGAATATAGACTCCAAAGAACAGACAAATTCACTTCAGCCTAGCTATTCAGACACATGATGACAGACAGACAGACAGGCACAGATTCACTGTTGCCCAGCCATTCAGACATATTAATTAACACAGACAAATACAATGATGCTCATCTCTTCAGACATTTGAATGAACAGACAGACAAATACACAGACCAAGCCATTCAGACACATGGCTAAAGACACATACAGAGAGAGAGAGAGAGAGAGAGAGAGAGAAATATACCGCAGCACATCCATTAAGATGCATAGATAAAGAAAGAAAAAACAATGGTTGCTGATATTTAGACATATAAACAGGCAGACCATGTTGACAGTAAGATACAGGTCAATGGTTGCTGATATTCAGACATACAAACAGGCAGACTATGTTGACAGTAAGATACAGGTCAATGGTTGCTGATATTCAGACATACAAACAGGCAGACTATGTTGACAGTAAGATACAGGTCAATGGTTGCTGATATTCAGACATATAAACAGGCAGACCATGTTGACAGTAGGATAAAAACAATGGTTGCTGATATTTAGACATATAAACAGGCAGACCATGTTGACAGTAAGATACAGGTCAATGGTTGCTGATATTCAGACATACAAACAGGCAGACTATGTTGACAGTAAGATACAGGTCAATGGTTGCTGATATTCAGACATATAAACAGGCAGACCATGTTGACAGTAGGATACAGGTCAATGGTTGCTGATATTCAGACATACAAACAGGCAGACCATGTTGACAGTAAGATACAGGTCAATGGTTGCTGATATTCAGACATACAAACAGGCAGACTATGTTGACAGTAAGATACAGGTCAATGGTTGCTGATATTCAGACATACAAACAGGCAGACCATGTTGACAGTAAGATACAGGTCAATGGTTGCTGATATTCAGACATACAAACAGGCAGACCATGTTGACAGTCAGATACAGGTCAATGGTTGCTGATATTCAGACATACAAACAGGCAGACCATGTTGACAGTAAGATACAGGTCAATGGTTGCTGATATTCAGACATACAAACAGGCAGACCATGTTGACAGTAAGATACAGGTCAATGGTTGCTGATATTCAGACATATAAACAGGCAGACCATGATGACAGTAGGATACAGGTCAATGGTTGCTGATATTCAGACATACAAACAGGCAGACTATGATGACAGTAGGATACAGGTCAATGGTTGCTGATATTCAGACATATAAACAGGCAGACCATGTTGACAGTAAGATACAGGTCAATGGTTGCTGATATTCAGACATACAAACAGGCAGACCATGTTGACAGTAAGATACAGGTCAATGGTTGCTGATATTCAGACATACAAACAGGCAGACCATGATGACAGTAAGATACAGGTCAATGGTTGCTGATATTCAGACATACAAACAGGCAGACCATGTTGACAGTAAGATACAGGTCAATGGTTGCTGATATTCAGACATACAAACAGGCAGACCATGTTGACAGTAAGATACAGGTCAATGGTTGCTGATATTCAGACATACAAACAGGCAGACTATGTTGACAGTAGGATACAGGTCAATGGTTGCTGATATTCAGACATACAAACAGGCAGACCATGTTGACAGTAAGATACAGGTCAATGGTTGCTGATATTCAGACATTTAAACAGGCAGACCATGATGACAGTAAGATACAGGTCAATGGTTGCTGATATTCAGACATACAAACAGGCAGACTATGTTGACAGTAGGATACAGGTCAATGGTTGCTGATATTCAGACATACAAACAGGCAGACCATGTTGACAGTAGGATACAGGTCAATGGTTGCTGATATTCAGACATTTAAACAGGCAGACCATGATGACAGTAAGATACAGGTCAATGGTTGCTGATATTCAGACTTACATAAACAGGCAGACCATGTTGACAGTAAGATACAGGTCAATGGTTGCTGATATTCAGACATACAAACAGGCAGACTATGTTGACAGTAGGATACAGGTCAATGGTTGCTGATATTCAGACATACAAACAGGCAGACCATGTTGACAGTAGGATACAGGTCAATGGTTGCTGATATTCAGACATATAAACAGGCAGACCATGATGACAGTAAGATACAGGTCAATGGTTGCTGATATTCAGACATACAAACAGGCAGACCATGTTGACAGTAAGATACAGGTCAATGGTTGCTGATATTCAGACATACAAACAGGCAGACCATGTTGACAGTAAGATACAGGTCAATGGTTGCTGATATTCAGACATACAAACAGGCAGACCATGTTGACAGTAAGATACAGGTCAATGGTTGCTGATATTCAGACATACAAACAGGCAGACTATGTTGACAGTAAGATACAGGTCAATGGTTGCTGATATTCAGACATACAAACAGGCAGACCATGTTGACAGTAAGATACAGGTCAATGGTTGCTGATATTCAGACATATAAACAGGCAGACCATGATGACAGTAAGATACAGGTCAATGGTTGCTGATATTCAGACATACAAACAGGCAGACTATGTTGACAGTAAGATACAGGTCAATGGTTGCTGATATTCGAACATATAAACAGGCAGACCATGATGACAGTAAGATACAGGTCAATGGTTGCTGATATTCAGACATACAAACAGGCAGACCATGTTGACGGTAGGATACAGAGTCAATGGTTGCTGATATTCAGACATATAAACAGGCAGACCATGTTGACAGTAAGATACAGGTCAATGGTTGCTGATATTCAGACATACAAACAGGCAGACCATGTTGACAGTAAGATACAGGTCAATGGTTGCTGATATTCAGACATACAAACAGGCAGACCATGTTGACAGTAGGATACAGGTCAATGGTTGCTGATATTCAGATTTAAACAGGCAGACCATGATGACAGTAGGATACAGGTCAATGGTTGCTGATATTCAGACATACAAACAGGCAGACTATGTTGACAGTAGGATACAGGTCAATGGTTGCTGATATTCAGACATACAAACAGGCAGACCATGTTGACAGTAAGATACAGGTCAATGGTTGCTGATATTCAGACATACAAACAGGCAGACCATGATGACAGTAAGATACAGGTCAATGGTTGCTGATATTCAGACATACAAACAGGCAGACCATGTTGACAGTAAGATACAGGTCAATGGTTGCTGATATTCAGACATACAAACAGGCAGACCATGTTGACAGTAAGATACAGGTCAATGGTTGCTGATATTCAGACATACAAACAGGCAGACCATGATGACAGTAGGATACAGGTCAATGGTTGCTGATATTCAGACATACAAACAGGCAGACCATGTTGACAGTAGGATACAGGTCAATGGTTGCTGATATTCAGACATATAAACAGGCAGACCATGTTGACAGTAAGATACAGGTCAATGGTTGCTGATATTCAGACATACAAACAGGCAGACCATGATGACAGTAGGATACAGGTCAATGGTTGCTGATATTCAGACATACAAACAGGCAGACTATGTTGACAGTAAGATACAGGTCAATGGTTGCTGATATTCAGACATACAAACAGGCAGACTATGTTGACAGTAAGATACAGGTCAATGGTTGCTGATATTCAGACATATAAACAGGCAGACCATGTTGACAGTAAGATACAGGTCAATGGTTGCTGATATTCAGACATACAAACAGGCAGACCATGTTGACAGTAAGATACAGGTCAATGGTTGCTGATATTCAGACATACAAACAGGCAGACCATGTTGACAGTAGGATACAGGTCAATGGTTGCTGATATTCAGACATACAAACAGGCAGACCATGTTGACAGTAAGATACAGGTCAATGGTTGCTGATATTCAGACATATAAACAGGCAGACCATGTTGACAGTAAGATACAGGTCAATGGTTGCTGATATTCGAACATACAAACAGGCAGACCATGTTGACAGTAAGATACAGGTCAATGGTTGCTGATATTCAGACATATAAACAGGCAGACCATGATGACAGTAGGATACAGGTCAATGGTTGCTGATATTCAGACATACAAACAGGCAGACCATGTTGACAGTAAGATACAGGTCAATGGTTGCTGATATTCAGACATACAAACAGGCAGACCATGTTGACAGTAAGATACAGGTCAATGGTTGCTGATATTCAGACATACAAACAGGCAGACCATGTTGACAGTAAGATACAGGTCAATGGTTGCTGATATTCAGACATACAAACAGGCAGACTATGTTGACAGTAGGATACAGGTCAATGGTTGCTGATATTCAGACATACAAACAGGCAGACCATGATGACAGTAAGATACAGGTCAATGGTTGCTGATATTCAGACATACAAACAGGCAGACCATGTTGACAGTAAGATACAGGTCAATGGTTGCTGATATTCAGACATACAAACAGGCAGACCATGATGACAGTAAGATACAGGTCAATGGTTGCTGATATTCAGACATACAAACAGGCAGACTATGTTGACAGTAAGATACAGGTCAATGGTTGCTGATATTCAGACATACAAACAGGCAGACCATGTTGACAGTAAGATACAGGTCAATGGTTGCTGATATTCAGACATATAAACAGGCAGACCATGTTGACAGTAGGATACAGGTCAATGGTTGCTGATATTCAGACATACAAACAGGCAGACCATGATGACAGTAAGATACAGGTCAATGGTTGCTGATATTCAGACATACAAACAGGCAGACCATGTTGACAGTAAGATACAGGTCAATGGTTGCTGATATTCAGACATACAAACAGGCAGACCATGATGACAGTAGGATACAGGTCAATGGTTGCTGATATTCAGACATACAAACAGGCAGACCATGTTGACAGTAAGATACAGGTCAATGGTTGCTGATATTCAGACATACAAACAGGCAGACCATGTTGACAGTAAGATACAGGTCAATGGTTGCTGATATTCAGACATATAAACAGGCAGACCATGATGACAGTAAGATACAGGTCAATGGTTGCTGATATTCAGACATACAAACAGGCAGACTATGTTGACAGTAGGATACAGGTCAATGGTTGCTGATATTCAGAACATACAAACAGGCAGACCATGTTGACAGTAAGATACAGGTCAATGGTTGCTGATATTCAGACATATAAACAGGCAGACCATGATGACAGTAAGGATACAGGTCAATGGTTGCTGATATTCAGACATACAAACAGGCAGACTATGTTGACAGTAAGATACAGGTCAATGGTTGCTGATATTCAGACATATAAACAGGCAGACCATGTTGACAGTAAGATACAGGTCAATGGTTGCTGATATTCAGACATATAAACAGGCAGACCATGATGACAGTAAGATACAGGTCAATGGTTGCTGATATTCAGACATACAAACAGGCAGACCATGTTGACAGTAGGATACAGGTCAATGGTTGCTGATATTCAGACATACAAACAGGCAGACCATGTTGACAGTAAGATACAGGTCAATGGTTGCTGATATTCAGACATATAAACAGGCAGACCATGATGACAGTAGGATACAGGTCAATGGTTGCTGATATTCAGACATACAAACAGGCAGACCATGTTGACAGTAAGATACAGGTCAATGGTTGCTGATATTCAGACATACAAACAGGCAGACCATGTTGACAGTAAGATACAGGTCAATGGTTGCTGATATTCAGACATACAAACAGGCAGACCATGTTGACAGTAAGATACAGGTCAATGGTTGCTGATATTCAGACATACAAACAGGCAGACTATGTTGACAGTAGCAGGATACAGGTCAATGGTTGCTGATATTCAGACATACAAACAGGCAGACCATGTTGACAGTAAGATACAGGTCAATGGCTGCTGATATTCAGAACATACAAACAGGCAGACTATGTTGACAGTAAGATACAGGTCAATGGTTGCTGATATTCAGACATACAAACAGGCAGACCATGTTGACAGTAAGATACAGGTCAATGGTTGCTGATATTCAGACATACAAACAGGCAGACCATGTTGACAGTAAGATACAGGTCAATGGTTGCTGATATTCAGACATACAAACAGGCAGACCATGTTGACAGTAAGATACAGGTCAATGGTTGCTGATATTCAGACATACAAACAGGCAGACCATGATGACAGTAAGATACAGGTCAATGGTTGCTGATATTCAGACATACAAACAGGCAGACCATGTTGACAGTAAGATACAGGTCAATGGTTGCTGATATTCAGACATACAAACAGGCAGACTATGTTGACAGTAAGATACAGGTCAATGGTTGCTGATATTCAGACATACAAACAGGCAGACCATGTTGACAGTAGGATACAGGTCAATGGTTGCTGATATTCAGACATACAAACAGGCAGACTATGTTGACAGTAAGATACAGGTCAATGGTTGCTGATATTCAGACATACAAACAGGCAGACCATGCTGACAGTAAGATACAGGTCAATGGTTGCTGATATTCAGACATACAAACAGGCAGACCATGTTGACAGTAAGATACAGGTCAATGGTTGCTGATATTCAGACATACAAACAGGCAGACCATGTTGACAGTAAGATACAGGTCAATGGTTGCTGATATTCAGACATACAAACAGGCAGACTATGTTGACAGTAAGATACAGGTCAATGGTTGCTGATATTCAGACATACAAACAGGCAGACCATGTTGACAGTAAGATACAGGTCAATGGTTGCTGATATTCAGAAATACAAACAGGCAGACCATGATGACAGTAAGATATACACAGCAGACAGACAGACATCAAAGTAACATATTCCATCTTAACAATCAGTGCACTGTCAAATATTCAAATAACTCTCAGTTAACAGAACCCTCAGCTGAACCTACCTGTCATAAGAACTGCCAAGGGAAGACCCATGCACAGTTCCACAATCTTGTCAATCAATCCTTGGTCGTACTGTACACTCGGGTGATCAAGCGCAGCAGAGCCACTCCATCGCCATGGGATAGAGGCGCGGCAGGTCCATCCAGCAGTACATGCTGGCGCACTCTTGGGAAGGTCACTTTGGCAGTTGATGTGAAGACGATCTTCAAACTCATACATCTCTCAATCAGCATTCCACAAGTCAGCACAAAGTCTGCTTTCACTTCACTTTCTATCACATCTTCAGCATTGTCAAAGTTGACAACATAAAATATAGACGGAGTACTCTCCATCTTTCTCAGAATATTTCCCACCAACTGTTCAACTTCATCGATCTGGACATCATCAAAGAAACCGAAAGCTGTTTTGACTTGGAAAATAAAACGCTGTAGACTGCTAACAGCATTCAGATCTATCAGGACGTGATGAATTGAGTCAGAGGATGGATGTTCAGATTTCATACGGTGAATGAATTCTTCAACTGTTCTGGATTTTCCAACAGACCTCATGCCAAACACTCCAATAATGCGGTACCTGCTCCACAGACCCCATAACTGTTGCAGAGAATCTTCCCTCCCAACAAACGGCTGTAAAACATCCAGATCTTCTGTTTCCTCCATATGGAAGGATTAAATGATGATCTTACAAATGATATAATAGTTTCCTACAACTGATTCATTCTCCCCATCGGAAATAACAAGTCCTTGAACAACCTCAATTCTTGATCTCCTAAAGTGATGAATTTAAAGCAGATCTATGGAATGATATGCTTGTTTCCTATCAACTACTGACACATTCGTTTTCAGGAAGTCATTAAGTCACTAAACAATGCCAGCTCTTGGGGTTAATATACTATTGTCCTATGAACAACTCTCCATTTTTCATGTCCTGCACACCAATATGTGATGCCCATTTAAGGAACTTCATGAAAGCTGAGTACACTTCGCCACCGGGACACTTCGGCCACTGGAAGATCTCATCTCACTCTGGATCTGTGCTGACAGATTCCACTGGTGTGGATATATTGGAATCCTCAACTCCTACCAGTCTGGAACGCTGGCGTCATGTACGTCAGTACAACGACAGTATTGGATGACCAGCTTCAGTTCTCTCACCAGTAGATCTATGCAATGACGATGCTGAAAGCCAGATTGAGAAGAAAGTCAAACAATGCAGTTGTCTTGACGAACTACTACCGGGAGCAGGGTTCCCTGTGATGTGTACTTAGCTGTTCATCGTTTTTAGCCTTCTTGTTGATCGGGCTTGCAGGTTAGGCCTGTAAAGATTATTAATCTTTCATCTCAGCCCCATGCCTGTTAATCAGTTATTGGTTCACCAATACAATATAGCTGGTTCTGTTTAATGCAAAATCTGCTGCCCATCAAAAATTGGTACATGTATCTGCAAAATCCATTCAATCCAAACATGACATAAAACTCCTTCACTCACAAAGAGTTTATGATCTCATAGGTAAAAAGAGGTCAAGTATTGGTAAGAGTTCCACCTCCCACTTGAAATGTATTCTATTTATTAGGATTGTTTAGGCTTGAGGGCTTTTTAAAATAAAAAACATCTATTCTTAGGCATAGAATGATAAAATGGGGGATGGGAGGAAATATCAGTATTTAGGCCAAAGTCATACTACAATGCAAAAACTGATACTACATTAGGGAATGCATCAGTTTACAAATGAACTTAAGATGGGGTGGATTTTCCAAAGCAAGCCAACAGTGAAAACTGTACTTTCAAAGTGTACTGGGAAACAATGAGAGTAAACACTAAACCTCTCTTTCTAGTATTGTTACTTAAAATTGTTACTTAAACAGTGAAAAACACAGTTGTTCAAATTCTCAATCAATGTCATCACACTGACAGTCATATTGTTAAAAGTATTAAATGTTCAATTAATTATTCCAGTTGCGCATGAAACTAGATTAAGTCGCAAGGTTTGAGGCGCCTCGCTACCCCACGGATGGCTATGCCTAAACACTGCTGAAAAACAGGCAAATGTATATGAACTAAACCTTACAATTGGAAGGCAAAGTATTGAAGGTAAACTTTTTTCAATTTCAAAAACCGCGCATGATAAAACAATTAAAATACACGCACCATGGGGATGTCTGTCACAGCAGAGCAACACGCGCTACAGCCAACATGGAAGAAATTGTCCAAAACTCAGAAAAGGTTGGCTGGGCGCTTAATTTCTAATTCCAAAACAGAACTTCAAGCTTCCATCGATTCCCCTTAAAAGTGAAATTTCTGACATTAAACAAACAGTTAGTGGGGGTTGAGCACGCCGGTCTCGCAACATGACGACGATTTGAACTCTCTCTCGTGAACGAGATAGCTGAACTAAAAAAAGAAAAGTCGATTCTTGAGAAATAAGTGACTTCTAAAAGATATACATGACCGAAAAGTAATCTATTGTTTTATGGAATTCCCGTGAGAACCTCTTGGCAGGAAGACGCTTTAGAAATATTGAGAAAGGTCATCACCAAATCGCTTAAGTTCAGTGGAGGACCGAGCCGACACTATGTATTTTAAGATCGGGCATAGGTTACCAAAATCTGAATATCAACGCCAGAATAAGCCTTCTGCCCCATCGCCGATGATTGCTACCTTCATTCATATATATGTCCGGACAGAGACGTCAAGACATGGAGCCAGAAAGCTGTTGAAAGGTACTAATTCTAGTATTCAGACCGACCTACCAGCTCTCATGAAGAAGCAACGAAAGCAATCCTTGGACGCCAAGTTTTAATTACTATTCGAATCGAAAAACCTCTGGACCAGAGTAAGGGTGTTAGGCACAGAGGTCATCTTGCAAAACGAGGAGATCCAACAAAACCTACATCAACTTGGAAGAAATATGATTAAACTTTGAAAATCACACAGTGACAGTCATCTAATATGAACTCCCAAGTCATGATGTAAACAAAGTTGACAGAAATGTTCTTCCTACAACTTCTATTGACGATATGAACCACTTGCACTCTAATATATAGTCATATACTTATGATTCTCACAAAATATTTTTACCAAATAGAGCCGCTTTCTGCTGCTGATAAGATATTTCTTATTTTGTTTGACCTAAGTAATTGTTACATTTCTTTGATTTTGAGTTTCAAACGCTCTTCAATTCTCTTACAAATATAAATAGTTGACTACAGGTATCTGCTACTGATGGACTTCGTGCAGATTCTCGATTCGCCTGGTATGAACATCGCATCGGTCTTCTGTTCATTTGGGATGACTCTGTTTGTGACTGTTTTTTTGTGTTGCTTTTTCATATATGGATTAATATGGATTAACTTCATGCAATATAAATGTAAGTAGCATCATATTTAAGCACATTTTAAAGTATACAATTGACGTTAAAGCTGTCATCCGGGTGGGTAATTCGACACGAAAGTACACTTCCAATCCGCCAAAGGAATATGGCATTTTATTTTACTGAAATTTTCTTGTTGCATATTTTTCTACTCTTCATTACATTTCAACATGACGTTACCAGTAACAAAATGAAATTTGTTCTGTCAGATAACATTGTGTAAAACTTTGCTGCATCGCCAACTTTATGTTCCAATTTAACATATTATTATGGATAATGATAAAAGTTACATCGTTAAACTGTAGAGGCTTAAATGACAAAGTTAAACGTAAGGAAATGTTCAGATTTTTAAAAGAAACGCTCTTCAATCTACTGTTTGCAGGATGTACATTTCACTGAAGACATGGAAAACAGGTCACAGAAGATTAAGTGTCAGAATTGTTATTTTAGTTCTCATAAAGGCAATTCTAGAGGCGAGCTATTTTATTTTCAAAACTAATTAGACTATAAAATTGATAATGTGAAGAAAGATAATGAAGGCAACATTGTTGCCATAGAGATTACAATAGATAAATACAAACCAACTATAATCAATATATATGGTCCAAACGCTGACAGTCCAAACTTCTTCGATAAACTGGACACAATGATACATTCACTGAAAAGTGATCATGTACTTGTATGTGGAGACTGGAATGTAGTTCAAGATTATTCCATTGATAACTACAAAACATCATAATAATCCAAAGTCGAGAGAGAGAATACTAAAATTAAAAGACTTAAATTGATCTTGTAGATCCATGGAGAGAAAAGATTTCCTCATGAAAAATATATACATGGCGCAAACTAACCTCCATTGAAACAGGCTAGGCTTGACTATTTCTTGGTTTCTTTCACAACATGATTCCCTCCATAACAGATATCGCTAATAGAGGCTAGTTTTAAATCGATCACTCTCCTATATCAATTACCTTTACTCTAAATGAAATAGACCGTGGAAAAGGATTTTGGAAATTTAATAACTCCCTTTTGAGAGATCAAAATATGTCACAATGGTTAAACTAATAATCTCAGAAACGTTGTTCACAATATGAAAACACAGATACGTAATGAAAAATGAATTTACTATTGACGATCAGTTGTTCTTTTTGGAAACATTATTGCTATTGATACAAGGAGAAACAACTAAATACCCATCATATAAGAAAAGAGAAAGACAGAAAGAGGAAAATAGTGTGACGTAAACAATTAGAAGAAATTACAGGTAAAATGGACCAAACAAGCCGTATCATGAAATTAAACTGAATTAATGAAAGAACTTGATACTTTAAGTCACAGGTTGGAAGAAATAAATAATGATAAAAACGCCTGGTATTATGGATAAGATCTAAAGCTTATATGGTTTGAACAGGGGAAAACCTTCTAAATATTTTCTTGGATTGGAATCACTGAAACTTCTTCAATAAGTCAATTACTCGCTTAGAAAAATGATAAACTAGATATTTTATCCAGCTGACATGAAATAGAAGATGAAGTAAAAACTTCTAACTCCAAATATATAGAAAAACAGGATATTAGCTATTATGTTAATCCTCGACAATCTACTCAGACACTTTGATATCCCTCAAATTAAGTGCAACTACATCATCAGCACTTAAAGGTCACATGCAACCAAAAAATCAAACATAATTAAAACACAATTATCACTTCTTCATGACATATAATATGCATTGCTGATTATGAAAAACAAATAAACAAAATTATAAGTTTAATAATCGCAAATCAAAAGTGCAATATTTTGTACTTGGGTTTACCTCCCTCAAACGTAAGCAGCCGGGATACCAACCCA